GGCCCTGATTTGGACAGGGGCTATGGGGAGAGGGAAGAAGGAAGGTCTTTAACCCTTCCGTCCCCATATGATTCCATTCATTGCAATTAGATCTTTAAAGGGAAAAAAGACTTGCATCTTTTTGCCCGTTGTTTTTCATTAAAGGGCTAATAACTGCACGGGGGTGCAGTTCCAATTAGCCAAAACGTCTTTGACAAGTGAATGGGTTAAATCCTCTCTCCACTCCCATGAGGTTCTGATCTGAATTGCAATTGTGCAAGTCTGAAACTGCTGTTTTAAAAAGTCTAGGACAATCCAGCAATAGCTTTTCCAGGGTCTCCCGTGTTTTGACCTTTCTTTCCCTGAATATTTCCCTTAAAACATTCCCAGAAATTATAAGAGCTATTTGTCATACTAAGAAGGACTCGGGAATGAAGATGGTAAGATGGAGCTGGAGATTCATTTCAGAGCTCCCACAGATGAATCAGATAGAACTGGTTTGTCAGCTGGGTGATGTGAATTTGAAAATGCCATGATCAACCAGTGATGTTGATTCCTTGTGGCATCTGTTCCATAGCAAAAAATAGGCCCTGAGCTCTTTAACTAGTCTGCGCATTTAACATTTTGCTTTTCTCTTTTGTACAGTTGGTTTTTTGTTAGCCTTCAGGGTAGATAACAATCACCAACTCAGCTCTGTGTCTATATATAACTGAACCACAAAAGAAGACCTTTAAAGAAAAATTGAGGATCTTTTAAAAAATGTTTGTGGTGCATTCTGCCACAGCCTAATCCTGTCTGTTTTCTTTCTGCAAGTTACTCCTACTGTGAATAAATCAGCTATTTTGATTCAATAGCAGTGGAATTATGATTATAGAAGTTAATTGTGCAAATATGGAGAACTAGGAATAAGGCTCATTGTGAAAATAAATACAACGAGCTCTAGAAAGAGGCTTTGGGAGAGTGCCAAGACTTTAGGCACTCAGCTTCAATATGCTGTGGCAACCTCAGCAGAGCATAATGACACAGAATCCACCATTTTCTCCAGAGGAACTGATCTCTGCTACCTGAAGAGCAGTTGTAATTTTCAGTGATCTCCAGCCCTCACCTGGAGATTGGCAACAATTGTTAACCAGGAAGAAATGGCTGATTTGGGGGTGGTGTCTATGGCATTGTACTTGTCTGAGGTCCCACCCCTCCTCAAACTTCACCCTCTCCAGGCTCCACCCCTCAAATCTCCATGAATTTCCCAACCTGGAGTTGGCAACCCTATCTCCTTCCCAGCCAAGCACCAACCTGTCATTATCTGCCCCTCTGATTTCAGCTTTGCATCTCCACC